GATAAGATCCCTAACGTTGCAAAGACTAAAGTCTCAAACTCAGAGATATTCTTTATAAAAGTTAAAGGGGTCCTATTATGCTCTTTTACAAAGTCTTGATTTTGTTTTGGGGGTGTACTAACATGCTCTCATGCTTGGTGGTTCGAAAAACGCATTATTTTTCACATAATTTACATTATTAAAATACCTTTCTCCCCATCCTGGCACAAACGGCTTGATTAGTTCTGGCTTTGATGAAGGTCCGCCTTCCGAAAAACAAAATGTGTTGTGATTGGTTAGCTGTCCCAGTGCGTTGTGATTGGCGAACAGCTTAGACGGTGTTTCAGTACTGCCACGCCCCTTGCTCCGTCTTTCAACAAAAGCTTTTGGCGAATCCGGCAGGCACTGTACTCCCTCGTGTTGTGGAAGCTGTCTTCAGTAAAATGCGCAGCACACAATAGCAAATTGGGGTTATAATGCTCAGGGACAGAGTTAAAAAATAAATAGCAACCACTGTTTCCTGAGACCAACCGCTTGCTGAAGCCCAAACAAAGACGTTTGGGCATGGAGGTGAAAAAAAACAGCGTTTCAGGCGGTCGCGTCGCGCCACATCTTTAAAATTCAAATACTTTATTTTCTATGAGTGTAGGCACACCGGCGGCGCCGTTCGGCATCTGCCCGCGGCGCCCAGCTACGTCGTGTTGTACTTGTAAGAATTGTTCTAGACATGCCGAAAATGTGAAGCTACAGCACAGCAGCTCTTCTTCTTCGTTTTCTCTGATGCACTAACTCTGCAGCAGCACTTCTTCTTCGTCGTCTCGTCTGATGCACTCACTCAACCAAGCGTTCTAACCACAACCTCGCCCCTCCCCACCCCCCAACTATTCGAATTTCTGTAGGCGGGAATGATTTTTAATGATATTCTAATGGGCCGCTTTGTGATATCACAAAGCCCGGAAAACAAACGCTGTAGTCCAAACAAGCCGTTCGTTGTAGAAAAGGAATTTTTTTTAAAGAAATATCTCCCTTTGGAGTGGACTTTGAGATTTGTAACTTTCTAGATCTTTTTTATGCCCAAACATACACACTACACACTGACTAAAATTAAAAAAGTGAAAAAGCATAATAGGACCCCTTTAAGACTCGTCCACACCCTCCTAAAACGCCTCGTTAAAACACGCCCCCACATGTCTACGTCACTGTGTGGGAAGATTTGCATAACACCGCACAAATTTTCACGTAAAGAAAGAAGGCAAAACTTTGATTCTTGCTGTAGTATTGTTGCTGCCGCTGCCATGTCGTGGAGACGCTCTGTGTTTCAATGTGAAAGTGAAACTACTTTGTTTGGTCTTCCAAAAGAGGACACAACTACAAATCAGTGGTTAAGTTGTATTTACAACACTGTTCCAGAACAGTTCAACCCAAATATTCAAGTGTGTGCAACGCATTTTACGGAGGACTGTTTCCTGAACCTGGGAAAGTAGCCTGCAATGCCGTCTATAAACAAAGGCTGTTTCTATAAAGTGGGGCAATTCCAACTTTGCAAGGACAGTCTGGCGCTTCTGTTCTGACTCACAGAATGTAAGTACATTTTCATATTTAAAGAATTTGCCACTGACGGTTCAAACACGAGTTTTGAGCAGTGTAGAGTAGCGCTTGTTGTTTGTCGTTTCTCCGATCACAAATGCAGACATGGTTTTATGTTTACGCATCGCGATATGCAACGCGTAAAAAGAGAGTATAAGTCATTATAATCAGTAATTATGTCCCCACTGGATGCAACAAAAGCCTCGTTTATAATGGGTTTTATTGGTGTTGTCTCATCGCACCAGAACACAGCATCACAGTATGCTAAGGGGCGTAACAATTCCGTCACACGCTTGAGGTATTCAGCCAATCACAACACACTGGATAGCTGGCCAATCAGAGCACACCTCGCTTTTCAGACCGATGAGCTTTGTAAAAATCGATGTGTTTCAGAAAGGCGGGACATAAAGGAGCAACAATAATGTACATTATGTGGAAAATAATGTGTTTTTTGAACCTTAAACCGCATAAACACATTGCATTACACCAAATACACCAAATAATTTTATTTTTAGCAACGTCATATGACCCCTTTAACACACAACACTTAAAAGAATCATGATGTTATTAGTCCTCATTCTTTCATGCCATGATTATTTTAAAGGCTTTGAAGTGTGAAATAAGGTATGTACATTCATTGTGGTGCTTCATGTTAAAATGTTTTTTTTTTCCAAGTTGTAATTAAAACAAAGATTATTGGAATACTTTTTACAATAAAATATAATATTTTTTGTAATTATTTGTGAAATGTGTGAATTTTTTTTCTTCAGTGTATATGCATTTTATTATACGTCAACGCTGAATTTTACACAATATGCTGATCACTGCCTGTTTCACAGAAAATGACTAATCCAGATTTTGAAATCTCTAAAACTATACTCAGACAAACCACTAGAGGGTGTCATTTGATATTACCCAACCGATGATCTCGGTTCTACACTTGCCAGAGCTAATAACCTGCTATGCTGACTAGCATTAGACCTGTCTGGTAAATCCTGTAAATCTTCTATGAATTTTCTTCCCTCACACTTATTTCACTATGTAAATACTTGAACATTTTCAGTAAGATGCAATTTAAGATTTAAAAAAATCTTTAATCATCTTGCTGATAAAAGTGTATTCTGCTGTATTGATTATCTGAGGTGACGGTACAATGCTTCACCACTTGTTAGTTCATGCAGCTTTTCAGACCAGCAGGTGGCTTAAAGGGATCAAGGGTTAAAATGGGAACAACATTATCTATCTATCTATCTAGAAAATAAGTGCTAATCATATGCTAAATACTATTTAGTTTTATCTGTTGTAAAGCTTGAGTGACACATATAACATAATCATGTTAAAATCAAAATTGTTTCTCTCTGGCAGTCAGATTGTTCTTTTCATCTTTGTGGTGCTTTTTCTTGGCACCAGTTTTATGTTTTGTCAAGGTAAGTGAGCTATATAACGTTTCGCAGATAAAAGTGCTAATATGCGCATGCTTGTTATCATGTGATATGTCTATTATTCTGCAGTAATGTTTTCACAGGCCAAAAATGTCTCGTTATTGTGAAAAGCCACATGTGTTAAACAATCACATAGCCTTCATTGTGTTCTCCTTCATAGCAACAGGTAATCTGATTTTGATATTTATCTTTTTTTTTTTTTTTTTGCATATATTTGTCTGCTTTTCAATTTGAAATACTAATTATCAACCCTTCTCGCCCCACTGAAGCTTTGGCTGTGGCACTTACACTCACTCACCCAGTTCCCAAGAGCATCAGGATAGCTTTTCACTCATTTGGGCTGTTCACATTTATCCAGGGATAAATTATGGGAATTATGGTAATATGATTTTATGTGCAAAAATGAGCTTATATGTCACTTTTTGTTTTTCTCAGGCAAAGACCACCCCAGAATTATACATATTTTCTTTGGTAATCTCTTGGGCCTGCATACTCTCAACAGGTAAAATGATATACTTGGTTTTTAGTCAGTTCCAATTCCAGCATAATAAGTGTAGAAAAAAAATTACCATTGTTCTTGTGCCTCTATCCAGCTTTCTTTCTGGTTAAGAGGTCTTTGCCTGATCCACAGAATGTTTCCTCATTGGTTAAGAGATACGTACCTCTGGGGTTGAAAATGAGCCACTGCTGCAGTATGGCCTTCTACTGACACTCAATACAGGTGCATTTATAATTTACATGGTTTCAGTGGTTTTTCAGTAATATCACCGTTTAAGGGAGAGGAAAGATTGCATAAATACAAATTGTATTTAGAATTTTTGTAAAAACGATATATAAACACATTGTGTTTGAAGTCTACATCATCATATTTGGAAAGAGGAAAAAAAAACATGATTTCAAAAATATATTTTATTGCTATGTAGTAAAACCACTGCAAAATATAAGATGATGTATGCGATTCCATGTAATACAGCTGAATACTGTAACAAAAGTTCCTTAAAACATATAATGGAAAAGCAATACATTTTATTTAAAAGTGTCAATTCAAATGTTAAACCAGTCAGCAAGGCACAAACTTTGTTGAAATACACACAATAGGATCTCAACAATGTTAAACATTTTCTATGTATAGGCACATTAAAAACATAGGAATCTATTTGTGTAAATACACATAAGGACTTTAATATGTGTGCATTTATTTTAATGTTTTATTAACATTTTCACATTAGATGATTTGATCCCTGTGGAATGTAATGCTGTTTTGCTTCACTACAAAATGTTAAATCGGTGGTTATGAATCAGACGATGCTGTCCAGCTGTTCAGAAACAACTCCTGCAGTGTTTCATAAAGCATACAATGCTGACTAGCATGTGCTTTTTAGATTTTAAACAACACAGTATAAAAACACACTTTACAAAGGCATTCATGTTTAGATATAAAACTATTGTAAGGTGTTGTTGTGTAACTGCTCAACACATAATGAACCTCTGTTTTCTGAGATATGGCAAAAAATCTTTGACACTAATACATTGTCAACAATGTAGTTCTGGAATGGTTTCATCAATAAGGCCAACAATAGAAACTCAATTCAGTCTAAAGATGAAACAGTAAATTAACATGTGTCTGTCCTAAAACCACTGGATATGCTATCTTAGGCAAGTTTTGTGTACATGTGTTATTAGTATTTCTTAACCTGAGGTTTGTGAGTATGCTCAATAAAGAAGGGGGGGAAAGTAACCAAATACATCTGTTTGTTTCCTCTGAAAAACAAAGAGTTGGTTCTTTATCTCAATTTTTACTTGGTAGTCTGATGAATAATTGCAGCCATGTAAAAAATGAGTAGAAAGTCAAATTACAGAGCATTCAAATATGTTTTATCTGATCACTGCTTGGTCACAAATGTGGAAAGAGTGCTCAATATGGAATTAAATTTTTCATAGCATAGAAGAATTGAGGAAGATTTGGTAGACTAGAACACTTTATTCTATTTCAGCATCATTATAAGATTGATTAGTTGAAAAAAGCTACTAGAGTTCCTGAGATTTTAAGTGATCAATTGTTTATAATGCAATGATTCTGTAGCACAGTCAAATGGCAAAATCCTTATCACAGCATTAAAATAACTCTCACACATATCACACCTCAATTGGTGTGAAAATTACACTTCAATTTATACTCTTCAATCATTCACAATACAACATTCAATTTGAGATATAAGCCCTGGCAGGTGGCTTCACTGACAAATTTGTACTGGTCTTTAGGCCATTTATCCTAACAATGCATCATAGTCAATGTACCATATAAGAGTACCGGTCTTCGGCTGTACTTTGGTAATGGGATACTTGGATGATTCGCCCTTAATTCGGCTGAGTTGACTGACAAGTTCATGCTTGCTCTTGCCCATAATTAAAACACCAACCCTTCGAGCCCTATTGATAGCTGTGAATGTGAGACTCATCCTCTGGTGTGGTTTAATGGGGCTTTCTGTCAGAATTGCCAACCGTTCCTCATCATTTTCCAATTTGGTGTCCTGGAATAATGAGGCAGTGTGGCCGTCCTGCCCTACGCCGAGCAGGATGTAGTGGAAACTGGAGCCGTTGACATGTTTATTGATTTCCTTCTCATATAATGCTGGTCCACCGTCCTCTTCCACACATAACCGCTGGGTGAGATGCACAGGCATGGGGTGGATGTTGAAGTAGGGTATGCGGATATGCTGAAGCAGGAGATCGTGAATGGACCGGAAGTTGGAGCCTGTTTCTGTATGTGGCACACAACGCTCGTCCACTTGCCATATGTGAGTGTTGCGCCACGGAAAGGTGTAGAGGTTCAGGGCCAGTGCACGAAGCAGTGCCACTGGGCTGGAGCCACCAGACAACGCCAGGTGAAACTGACCTTCTTCACGAATGGCCTCCTCAGCAGCCAGGAGTAGATCAGAAGCCAAGCGCTCCACCAGTTCCTGTGCCCAGGCAGATACCATTTCAGAACTACGGTACTTCCCTTGCATCACTTGGAAGTTGTCTTTGGCACCGGGGTTGATAACGTTGACCACGGCTTCATGGCTAAAAGCAACCTGATGGCCCTGCAGCTGAAAGTTCAGCAGATTTCCATTGGCTTCGCCACCTGGATACACCCGTGGAAAGACCCGACTCAGGCCTTCAAGGAGGGGAGTCCAAAACGCCCAAGAAGCAAGGAGTCCTTCGGCACTAATAAAGCTATCCTTGCGTCCAAAGAAGACATGTGAGATCAGCTCGCAGTAAGCCTCTCTGGGTGTGACCGGTGACTGGATGTAATAGTCACTAAGCGGTAACCCCAGGACATTTACATCTTTGTATTCGGTTACCTCCTTCCAGTCACCGCTGCTTACCAGTTCGGGCTTGAACAGGTTCTTGCTGATAAGAATCGCAGGGTACTGCAGGTTTCCGTGACCCAGAGAAAATATGATCTGTTTGGATTTGCACTGAACATTGTTGGGATCCTGAATGCAAAATACATCATTTTTGAAAAGCACACGTGCATAAGAAACCCGTTCATCAAGTGCCTTGCCTGAGGTCATAAATATGGGGATACCCTCATATTGCACATTGTCAACATGAATGACCACACCTGTAAAGACAATTATTGTCAACATAAGCGTGGTTAGACTGATTTTCCACAGTCACACTGCTATGAATCAATGACTATGTGTACATGCACTAAGGAAAACAGCTTTTCTGCAATAAGCATTTTTCTTGTGTGCATGTGAACATACTGGATTATATAGCTACAAAGCTCTTCCACTCACCAGCAAATGTGGGGGTCAAGCTGAAGTAGTCCTTTGTTTTATTTAGCTCTTCCTGAACCTCTCCATTGTAAGCTTGGTACTGACCTACAACCGCATTACTGTTATCTACGTGTTGAAGGGAAGCCAAGAAATTAAGCTTGTTTTGTAGTATCTCCATGCTGTTGGACAGGTTTGCAGGAAGGTTCATCAACATAAGGGTCATGACCTCTGTGAGGTGGTTTTGGAGCACGTCTCGGATGACGCCATATTGATCATAAAACTGAATCCGGCCTGTAAATGAATGATAGATAATAAGTGCTGAAGTAATCACTGAGAAAATAAATGGAGAAAGGAACTTTTTGACAATGTGAACTTGCATTTATAAGCAACTAAATAACCAGTACCTTTGGCATC